AACTCCGAAAGGCCACTTCTAGAAATCTCTAACTTGGCCTTTCGGTTCTGTAGCAGCTACGACTTTGCCCTTTCAGGTAAGTAGCAGCTACGACCATGACTCTTCAGGCAGTCTACAGCTACGACCTCTGAGCTCTTTAGGCTCCTACCCTACATTTCTACAGTTCGAATCCCTCCTACCCTGTGACCTACGAAAGTCTACCTACCACTGGCGATCCTACAGGTCGCAGGTTCGAATCTACGGGTTAACATCAATACTGTACACAGGTAAGATGGGGAACTAGGGATCGAGCCCTGGGATCTGCATTCGATACTGCGAACTGGTCAATATCGTTTCACTCCCGCCGGCCTAAATTCGAGGTCCTCCGAGAAAATTTCAGTCCAAGGCAGGACCTTTACCTTTCTGCTGTCTTTCGTAAGCCCGGACTATATCGGGAGCTGTCTCTAGAAGTTCAGATTTTGTAAACCAGCGGTCGTCTTCCGGTTCTTGATTACTGAAATGAACCTTGTACTGTTTCTCCGGACGACCCCTACCTCCAGTTCTAAAGACATCTTCAGCCACTATACCATCGATGTCGTATCTTCCATCCATATCCGATGGGATCATCGATCTACGGGATGGGAACTGATCACTTGTTTGACAAGGTAACAACTTCGATGCATGGAAAACTGGGTAAGTGTGGAGGTGTGTTGGAAGTTCTATGGTATAGGACGGTCCATCTTCGCCGCCCTTGACTTCTAGAACGGGCCACGGTCTTCTATATGTGGGCAGTAACTTCTGCGAGATGTTCTCCTCAGGTGCAAACTCCTTAGAACTAACCCAGACTAAGTCGCCTACTTGGAACTGTGAAGGGCGACGATGTTTGTTCGCTTGCTCTATCATCCTATGCTGGGCTTTCCTGAGGTTCTCTACAACAGTAGCTAGTTCTTTCTCGTGCTGTACAGCAAACTCCCTGGTCCCGGGCGACAACCTGTGAATCTGATCCCGGTTGAGTCCTTCAAAGGGTCTACGGGGCCTAAAGGACTTGTGCAGATCGTTGGGAGTGCGACAAGTAGACAGATGCACGTTGTTGTTGTACGCACTAGCTACTTTAGGCAGCATCTCATCCCAGTTAATCTGATCTGGCCTAATGTACATGCGCAAAACTTGTTGTAGGATCTTCTTCATTTGATCGGTCTGACAGTTAATCTCTGGATGGCGGCCGGACGACATCAACAACTTAGATCCATATACTCCCATGAGTTCTTGCCAGTTTTGGCTGGTAAAACGACTATCTCTATCGCTAACTATTGATAGTGGGATTCCATTCTCACTCACCCAACAGTCAAAAATCCTGTGTATGACTAAATCAGTACGTGCCTCGGAAGGCAAAGGAACGAAAACTGCGTACTTACTAAAACGGTCAACTATGACCATGACTTGGCTCTTGCCATGCCTAATCTTGACTTGAGTGTCCATGAAGTCTATGGACACTGAGTCTCCCGGCTGATCCGGAATGGGYAAGGGTCTGAGAAGACCTAGAGGGGAGCGCGTAGAACCCTTATTACGCTGGCAGACTTTGCAACTGCGAATATACTCTTCGCAGTCATTCTTCATTCTTGGCCAAGTATATGCGCGCATCAGATTGGCTAAAGTCTTTTGCCAACCAAAATGACCCTCTGTATCGTGGCATTCTCCGGAAATCAAACTACGGACCTCTTCACTACTGGTAATTTACAGGCGGTCAAAAACAGGTTGGGACTTAAAGACCAGAAATTGGCCCAGGCGNTCTCCGGAAATCAAACTACGGACCTCTTCACTACTGGTAATTTACAGGCGGTCAAAAACAGGTTGGGACTTAAAGACCAGAAATTGGCCCAGGCGGGCCTCCTCTCCTTCAACTCTTCGGCYACGCCTGTGAGGGAGGTGTCTAGAGAGACCCTAATACAAGCGGTCTCTGGGCAGCTATCTAGACATCGGCCTGCAACCTCTGCCATAGGCACATGTGGTGTGGGAGTCTCCTGCCGGCTAGCGCTATGTTCCCCACATGGCCTAATGGTAGGGGCAGTTGCTAACCCCTACCGACAACCGTTCGGGTCTCGCGATACTTAGGACAGTATTTAATGATATGGCCCGGGTCACCGCAAAAAATGCACTGGCCCCGGTCCAATCGTTGTTGCCATAAAGTCTGGTCCAGACCCAAAGTTTCCCAAGGCCTAGCCTGTGGTAGCCCCGGGTGCCATCCTCCTACCCTATAGGGAGACCTATTTCTAGGACGGTTTTGCGGGGGACCTTAACCCGTCTCCCGCTTGGCGGTTTCCTCCTCTGCCGCCAACCCCCTGATCGACCTGAAACCGGCTCCCTGAGGCCCGGCCCCGTTGGCCCTGGCCTCATCCTCCTTGCGGCCTCCCTCCAGCCGCAACAGCAGCGTAAGTCCTCCCCTGGCCCACACCGCTGTCCTCTTCCTCTAACCCCCACTCGATCTGTTCGTAGGGGATCTCATCCACACTACCCTCATCTAAGGTCAGGACAAGGCTGTCCTTGGTCTTTACCTGCCCTGAGATAGTGCGGCCTTTCCATTGCTTCCCTTTGTCTAAGTCCTTGTGCCAGAAGGTAGACAGGGACACGGACTTAGCTTCAAAAGCCACCACCTCACGACTAAGGGAATCGTGAGTGGTGGCAGGGTCTTCGCTCTTCGCGAAGAACTGCCCTCGAAAGGCTTCGGGCATAGCCCGATAGAAGAGATTGAGCAATTGGGCCTCTGTGACCCCATGGTCAGGGACGGCCACCAATTCATCCATCGTGCCCTTGAGCGCCCTGGCACTCTTCCATTTACGAGCGTGAATGGTCTGGAGCTTGTCTGAGGCCTTAACACTGCGAGCGACATCAGCAAATCGCTTGCGTAGCAATTTCAGGAATTCGGTGAGGGACGTGAACGAGGAGTACCAACGGGATCGTCACTACAGTTGGCAGCGCGAACTAGGGACCTTGTGAATCTCTCAGCGCGTGGATCGCAATTAGAACCTGCTGATCCGGGGAGACCTGTTGCAAGTGCACATAGGTCTTTACGTTGGCTTCCCAGTTGTCAAAGTTCTCTTCCCTTTTCCTACTGTAGGAATGAGGGAATTTGACCTTGAACGGTTCCCAGCGAGGAGGACGTGCTTCCTCCTCCTTGGGGGCTGCCGCCTTGACGCCCTCGATTGCGCCAGCGCAGAACCGCTCAGTCTTGTCGATGCGGTGGCCCACCTCAGTGCCTATAGCGCCTACCAACTCTCGAGCGAAGTTCCAGAATCCCAACTTTATTGAACGCACAACTATGTGTCGACTCCTACTAAAGTCATATTGCTCCGCCTGAATTCGTGCCAGGCGTGCAACATTTCGAGCTATGACTCGCATTTGGGCTGGGAGTTTCGTCTGGGCGGCTAGTTGGTCTTCTATCTTTTTTACCTCCTCTAATTCTTCTGCCGCCTCCGCTGCGGCGTCCACTCTCCTCTTCTTCTCCCTTATCACTGCCAACCTCCATTCCATTCTCTTCTCATCTTCCATTGCCTGCTGCTTCACAACATCTTTTTCTGCTTCCCAAGCTCTCATAGCGACTTCCTGATCATCTTTAGAGATATACATCGCCACCTCCTCTTCTCTGCCCAGGGATAAGTTGGTGACCCACTCTGAGATTCGCTTCTCCATCTCCTCATCCCTACCGCCACTGCACTGCCCCCTCTTCCTCTACAGTGGCGTTTCATCTTCCTCCTCCTCTTCCACCTCTTTCAACTTCTCTTCTTCTTCTCTCTGTATCCTCTCCTTCTCTCTGGCCATCTCATCTTCTATCTTCTTCAATTTGGCTGCCTGCTCCTCCTTCAAGGCCTTCTTCTTGGCCTCCTTCTCCTTCCTCTCCTGCAGAATGGCGGCCATCTTCTCCTCCTCCTCCTTCGTGTATGGCTTGGTGGAGGCACCACCTCGGGTATCTACTCTACACGTAAAGGTGTGCCAGAAGCCCAGAGGAAAGAGGAGACGCCAGAGGGTCCCCCAGAGAGACAACCCAACCAGCAACGCATACATCGGATAGTCATCCATCGCGGCGTCAGGTGCACGACAATGTCCCACTCCTCACCACTTAGACCTACCCGGACACACTGACCTACTGACTGACTCTCTAGGATCCACTACTCACAACAACAAGGCTGTCACTACTGAACTAACAGCTGATCAGGAGGCATTTAAGGAGATCCCCCAAACTCCGCAAGAATTCTTTAACGTCGCAGTCAGGACGACGTGATCAGCGTAGTTCTTCCTGGCGATTTCAGCCCACAACTCAGCCGTTCCGGCCTACTGTGCCACACCGAGCAGCCCGCCGGTCGGTACTGGTCCTTGGAGGGGTTCGTATCCCTCGGGACAGTCGAGTCGTCAGGCACAGATCATCAGCCTTACTGGGTCCGGTAGGGGATTGGTTCAACCAGGCCTCAACACTTAAAGACGGCCTTCGTTTCAGCCCACAGCTCGGAGTTCGGACCCTCTACACTGAACCTGAGTAGACCTGCCGGAGTACCGGTCATTGGGCTAGACGAGTTGTTTAACAAGCGCTCGCCGCTAATGCCCAGGTCTTCAGATGCCAGAGTAGAGATTAGTCCTACTAAGTCCCGTGCAGGTTTGGCAACAAGGCCCTATCCTTCATCCACAGAGTCCTAACACCTAGGACAGAAGAGACTCTATGCAGAAAGGAGAGACAGACAGACTCAAACTCAGCAAGTACCGTGGGGTAAGTGCACATCCACAAGGTAAGGGGATAGGCTAAGGGCTCAGCGAGATATCACCAACTCCAGCATGGTCAAAATCTTGGTCAGCAGCTCCGGTCAACGCCTTGGTCAACGCTGAGTCAACGCTTGGTCAACACCCTTGGTCAACGCCTGGTCAACCCTCTGGTCAACGCTCCGGTCAACGCCCGGTCAACCCTTCACCTCGGCTATGGCTGTCGACACCATCACCTTCGTCACCCTCGCCGCTTACTTCCCCTTCCTTCACTCTTCTTCTTCTTCACTTTCTCTGATTTTTTTTTGTTTTTTTTGTGTCCACCCCCGGCTATGTCTGTCTTCTTCTCCGGTACCCTCCTTCCATGCTTCTTCTTCTCTCTCCCTAGTCCCTCCTTCTCTGTCCTCCCTTTCTCTCTCCTCCGGTACTCTGTGTTGATGCTCCGCGGCTACGGCCGCTGTCTTCCGTCTCCACCGGACTCCGCAACTCGCCTTATAGGTAAGTGACAACCAATCTTGGATCGCTCATCTCTCTCTCTCTCTCTCTCTCTCTATCTATCTATCTATCTCTCTCTCTCCCGCCGTAGCGGTATCTTCAGCGTAGCAGGTAAGAACCCAATCTTGTATCTCTCATACCTCTCTCTCTCTCTCTCTCTCTCTCTCTCTCTCTCTCTTCTTCGTGGTCTTCTTGATGCAGGTGCGCGACGGCTTCTTCCACCTTGAGGTCCGCTATGGCGGACTGCCCCCTTCGGTCACCACCTGAGCTATGGCGCATCGGCCCTGCACACGACGGCGCGCGCGGAACAACGGGTACCTGCTCCGATACCAGTGCAATCAGACTCGACTTATTCACACTTTTCATGCACGTGAACAGCAGCACACAACTGGCGACTGGCGCCCACACGGTACACAGAGATATGTCTTCGAGGTAAGTTTGCTTCCACTCGCTATGGCGATTGTGCGCCTCAAACACTCACTGTTCACACTCTGGATCACCCTAGATGTCCCACACGCGAAACCCAGTACACACACACAGTACACACTCTTCCCCTAAGCTACAGCTATGGCGGCTATGGCCTCCGCTACCTTACTGCTATGGCTAGAGTATGTCACTCTCGCCCTCTTCGTCTTCGGGCCTTCTGCGGACCTCCTCGCACAAGCTGTTGAGGCAGCGCTTCCGCATGGCTTCCGCAGGAATGAATGAATGGCTGGGCGCAGCCTCTTGATTTATACTTCTATGTTGCGTTGGTCTGCCCTGTATCCCTTGGCCCACGATGTGCACAGTCCCAGACGGTACTTGCATGACTGGACTGGACTGGGTTAACTGGGACTGCTGACTGTACTAGGTGGACTACCACCACTTGACCACTCGCCTCTGCTGAATGCAGGCTAACTCCGAAAGGCCACTTCTAGAAATCTCTAACTTGGCCTTTCGGTTCTGTAGCAGCTACGACTTTGCCCTTTCAGGTAAGTAGCAGCTACGACCTTGACTCTTCAGGAGTCTACAACTACGACCTCTGAGCTCTTTAGACTCCTACCCTACAAGTCTACAGTTCAAATCCCTCCTACCCTGTGACCTACGAAAGTCTACCTACCACTGGCGATCCTACAGGTCGTAGGTTCGAATCTACGGGTTGACATCAATACTGTACACTGGTAAGATGGGGAACTAGGGATCGAGCGCTGGGATCTGCATTCGCTACTGCGAACTGGTGAATACTGTTTCATATATAGCATATAGCTACAATATTAGAAGATTGTGGTATGTAAAACCACGCTCATCATCTTTGTAAAGCAACATCGTTTTTCTTAGCATACTTTGAACAGGAATATATGGCAAGATAATTCGAAGAAACTTTTTGAGTTCTTATGTTCCGAACCAGAGTTGGTAATATATTTTACTATAATTCCCATATTTACGATCTTTTTGAATGGGTCCCACATGTGTGTAAACATTGGCTCGAAGAGCAGATGCTTCGCGTCTGAATCCCACGAAAACATCTAAGTAGCTAAAGGAAAGCACATCAACCGAGACTCCGTTAGTAGTGGCAAGCGAACGCGGATTAGGCTCTAAATACCATCCAAGCAAATTAGAAAAGATTGGGAAGTCTTGCCAGAGAAGGTGATAGCCCTGTATATTTTGTCCAATGGTTTTCATTTCAAGAAGTAGAGCCATTACTCGTCGACTTAGAGAATCATGTCATTCAGCCATTACATAATCGAGTTCGTTATCCTCATTCGTTYCGACTTTTATCTCCCGAGCCGGCCTCGGAGGTGCGAGCCTCCTGTTGCTCGGTTTGATCTAGTGCTTTTCCACGCGCATTTCGGCAACGCTACCCTTGGTTGATTTACTCCATAATAAATACAGGAAGGAGACCAGACGCCCACTTCTTTGCGTCTTGCTTTTGTGTCCAGCATGTCTTGCCGCACTTCGTGCCTGCCTTCGGTCGGCGTCTGATATCGACGAAATACGCCTTACACGGCGCACCATAAACCATGCCCAAATAGCCAATGTTCGATCACCAGGAAACCACAAAAAAGTACGGTCGCTCGCCCTAGCCAGCGACCGCCGAGCTGTTTGGGATCCTCAGAGACACTACACAACGCATCTCACTTGTTTCATTAATGAGAGGGAAAGAAAGAAAGAAAGAAAGAAAGCGGCAAGCCACTCGCTTTGCGTCTACTTTCAATTCTAATTTGTTGGATTGATCGATGCTGAGGCTTGTTTTTTAAGTATGTATTGTATGGTCGGTCTTGTGAAGTTCAAACTCTTACAGTGGGTAGAACGCAAAGTAAGAAAAGCGATTGATTACATAATCGAGCAAAGAAGGAAAGAAAACTTATGCTCCATGAGGTTTCAGTAAGCTTGAGCAATCAATGAATTCAATCCCACCGGGCCATCGTCAATTTTCAATTCCCATTAGCTAAGGGTTCAGTCTAGATAAGAGCTTGGATGGTTGCCGGTAGGAATAGTAGAAGGCCCTCAAAGTCAATAAGCAAGAAGTCGCCTCGTGTCTTGTTTCCGTTCCATTGCAGCCCGGTCCCAAGGCCCCGAAAGTCGGTAGGCAGGAACTCGGTACTTGTCCAGTCCCGGTTCAATTGCAGCTCAACTCTAGGGGAAGATCACGATCGGGCGAATCTTTGTTGGCTGCGGGAGGGCTTGGGAAGGAGAGTCAGGATTTATGAGGGAGGCAGAGGCATGAGTACAATCATTTCTTCATTTCTGTTGAAGACAGAAGCTATGCTGCCTTGCGCGGGTGCAATGCACTTTGAACGTGAACAATGTCAGGAGAACTGTTGACGGCGATGGGCGCCATAGATGTGAGCTTGAGTAGCCGCGAGGACATTCAGAGAGCGATCATAGGACCTAGGTGAATTAGTCAGTAGTTGTAGTAGATAGATAGATAGATGTAGAGAGAGAGAGAGAGAGAGAGAGAGAGAGAGAGTTGTCACCATCTGGAAGAACTTGTGTACATCATTTCAAATTCTAATAAAGTTGTGTGTGTGCTTATAACGTCTGGATCCTGTTGAAACTGGGATCTTGACCCGGAGCAGCCAACACGCCTTGGGTATGAGGAGCAACTGAAGAAGGGAAGAAAGTGGAAGGTTGGAGATGGAGATGCAGCGGAGGAGAGTGCAGAAAAAAAAAAAAAAAAAAAGAGAGGGAGGAGGAGGTAGACCGCAAGAAGCCTCTAGCAGTGGGGAACAGTCATTGGCAGCTGGGGCCGGACCTCGCAGAGCGACCATTGTCGATCGCCTTGCGGAAGCAGAGAGGAAAACGGTGGAGGTGAAGCAGAGAGTGGAGGATTTTGGTTGGGCCATGAAGAAGGTGAAGGAAGAGGAAGAGGAGATGCAAAAGTTGGCAACATAATTGTTGGAAGAAAAGATGGTAGCCTCCAAGATGAAAGAGGAGGAGGGGATAGGACAGGCGAACATGAACCAGGCAAGTGTTGCTTGACGAGCTGCAGCGGCAGATGGGAGAAATGAAGAAAATGATGGAAGGTGTCAGAAATCGAGCTAGAGGAGCTCCAGAAGCAGATCCAAGAGTTGGTACACAAGGGGTGTGTAAAGTCAAGATCATCTCTCTATGGCTCGCCCATGTTATTTGTTCTTAAGAAGGGAGGGGAATTGAGGATTTGCATAAACCATAGTCGGAGGATGCAATGACTTGCTGAGTCTGCAGTCTGCGACCCGTCGACTTGAGGCTGTATCATAGGTAGGTTAGATTCGTAAATTTGTTTGGTTGAGGCCTAACGGAGAGATCTGCCTGTGGGGACAATTCGTGAGGGACATATCTGTAAATTCGGGAAAATCGCAGGCCCACGCTAACTTGAATTTCCTACAGCTACCCTAACTGCGAATAGCAAACCTGGGCCACCACTAGGACAGAAAGGCCTACGGGCCTATGCTGTGAGACTGGTCCTATAGCCTATATCCGGGTAGGGAGACGCCCTAGAGGCCGACACCGAAATGGTACCGGTCAGTCCAGTCAGTCC